TTTGGTTTTGGGCCCCGAAGGGGTCCAATCCTGGGGCCTTTGCCAATGCGCCCTGGGGGAAAACCTTTCCCCGCATTAAAACTTTGGGTTGGGGGGGGGCTTCCCTTTCCCGGGGGAGCCCCCCCCCCCCTTTTTTCCCCCCCTCGCGGCGGATTTAAAACTTTGCGGGGGCCCCTCGGGGGCCTCCCCCCCCCCTTGGGGGGGGGGGGGCAACTTTTGGGTAAAAATGCGGGGGCCTTTTCCCCCTCGGGGGGGACAGGGTAACTTTGCGGGGGTTTCCCCTCGGGGGACCATGAATTTTCCCCCCCCCCCCCCCCATGGGGGGAAGTTTTGGGGTCCGACCCCCCCCCCCTCCCCTTTAGCATGTTGCGAACCCTTTGGGGAGTGGGGACCCCCCCCCCCCCCCCCCCAGCATGTTGTGAGCAGAGAAGTGCCCCCCCTCCCTGGAAGCGATGTGGCATGTGCGCCTGCTCTCGCGGTCGAGTTTTGTCTTAGATGAGGGTGCGCACACCTCCTGTCCTCGCGGTCGAGTGTAGTTTACTTTTGTTTTGTCTAGTGTTTTGTTAGAGTCGCGTCAACGAGGTTCTGAATTACTAAAACCCCTCAATCTCCGCCGCAACGAAAACCACGACGAGGGTGCCGCTAGGGTGGCCGTGCAGCGTGCTGACCAACCTCGTGCTCCACGGGACAACAACATGGGCGACGAGGGTGCCGCTGCGCTGGCCTGGCCTCTGCTCTTCGCGTCAACGCGGTGCTGAAAACTCTCTACCTCACCGCCAACGAGATCGGCGACGAGGGCGCCGTCGCGATCGCCGACGCCCTTCGCGTCAACGAGGTGCCGACCAAGCTGAACCTCTGCTTCAACGACGGTCAAGGCGACGAGGGAAAGAGAGTGATTCGGGATGCGCCGTGAGCGGGCGGGTAGGGTTCGAGCTCGCGAGATGTGAGTTTGAATTCTGAGAGTGGACGGCGCAGGGGGGCGTGCATGAATTAGACTGGGTTGTCTTCTATGAGTCGTGCGTGATTTCTTTTTCAGTTTTTTCACGTGTAGGGTGCTGAAAAAAACATGACCTCCGCGACAACAGTTTGGGTGACGAGGGCGAGACCGAGAGAGTGATTCGAGATGCGGTGAGCGGGCGGGCAGGGTTCAAGCTGCTCGCCAGCGGCA